GGACATTCTGAGCTTTTGATTGGTTATTCACATGTCATATACAGAAGTAAGTGATAAGGGATTGTTTTCAAAAATGGACAGAGGTGGGCATGGTCACTGTGTTTGATTCGGTACATGTAGTGATATCTTGGCATATATAAAAGATAAGACCTTCTTATTTTATATTCTAGCTTGTAAATATTGGTAATTTGAGTTTAATTCGTACAAAACTATGGACTTAGTATTTTGACTTCACAAACATCTAATTTGAACCAGTGCTGCATTCAACATACCAAAATCAATGTTTAGGTGTGTTTTTTTAATATTTACTTTTAAATTAACAAATCAAATAATGTATAATACTAAAATTTGAATTATAATCTAAAGTTTGATACCAAATTTATTGACATAAATTCATAAAATAGTAGTTAAATAGAATTTTGAATGCAAGTCAACAAACATGATGACATGGCCTTTGACCCATGACCTGTCACGATAGGGTTAACAGTTTTATACACGGAGTTGCGATGTGGATAATACGTCATAACAAGAATTAAGTTCAATTATGTACAAGATCACTTTTCAAGTATATTGTTGCATATTTCTTCATTAGTAAAAGATTGCTTTGTCTCATCATCATATATTTATCACCTTTGTGTCATGTGATAGTTTGTGGTTATTGTTGTATTCGTATTTGTACAGGCTGGGTCTTTGGCCTCTCTTCTGAACCCTCAGAAAAACGACTTGATCCAAATTACCTGTTGATTTCTCAGGACTCAGCACAGAGAATCTACAAGTTAAGGTATTAGGTGTACATTTTACAGATTCAGAAACACTCAATTTGTTGCTTTGTGCTACTGCAACCTTTCTTTTGTAATGTTCACTTAGAATCAAGCCTGACAACTAGAAATCATCGCACTAAATTATGCATGTTCATTTGATCGTAATACTTCTAACGGCTGTTTCTGTGAGTCATCTCAATATTGGTAATAGTTCAGTTAGCGTGAAGTATTTAGAACATCGGAATTTGACAAACCAGAAACAGTTGTGTTAATAGGCACTTGATTAGAGTATCAGTTTATATCAAGCATTGTATTTGCTTTCATGGAAGAGTGGACACTAGATGGTTGAAAAATCTGTAAATTGTTCATTTGTGGAAAACTGTGAGCACCAGGCAGTTAAGGAAAATTAAAATATATTTTTGTCTGTTTGTTATTAAGCACAAAGCCACACAATGGACTATCTGTGCTCTGCCTACCCTTACTACTGAGGGGTTGATTTATTATTATTTTATGGTCAAAAATTGTGAAGTCTGTTACTTTTTAAGGCAGCCTGTTTTAATTTTTGGTTTTCTGTATTTTTACTTTTAATCTGTGTGTATCTTGCTGGTATTTTACTGAAGTTGGAAAAATGTATGCATTCCATCTTTTTTTTGATTTAGTTACAAACATGTTATTTCATTCACTTGTAACATATTTCTGGTTATTATTTCAGCTATTTTATGCAATAATGAACAAAAATGTCTTGATAGTTCAATTTTAACCTCTAGCGCATGTAAGTTGGATTTTCAAATGTAGATAATATAATTTTGAAGGTAATGCATGATTTATGTAAATTATTATTTACTCATACTCACTTTGTCCTGCATCGATTAGAATGTCGACTCACCGCACTGTTAATAACATGTTTTATGTTTATTTGTTCAGGTGTAATATTTGGTTTGAGCACAAAATCACCAGCTAAGCCTTTTACCACAACGGGAGCGTCTATTATGATTGCTCCAGAGATTCAACAGAAGATTCTTAGCTTAAAGTATGTTAATGTCAGTTTCTTTAGTGGTTAATTAGTTCATTATCCATTTAAAAGTAAATAAACGTGTAAATTGTACACTTCCATATGATCATTGTTTTTTGTAGTTTTATGTTTATAGAATGGATGTTTGATTTTCCTGTTTTCAATATTTGTTAGAGATTTCTAAGTAAAAGTAAGAAGGTATTTATAATATGCTATAATATTACGGAGGACTGATAGTTAAAATCCAAGTACACTTCATTGGTGAAAAGGATATTTATGTAACTTAATGAATGAATGAAAATATAGTTTAATATTTTATTGAATGAAAATAAATTGATTTTTTAGAGCAGAGGTTGATGAACTTCAGGAGCAAGTAATCAAAGAAAGAGAACAGTATCAGCTTTCCACCCAGTCTGAGCTTGGAGGAATATCTGCTGTTCCTTATTTCAGTATCAATGATCAGTTTTATCTAAACCATGAAGATGCTTCCTATCTTTTAACAATTGAAGTACAGACAGCTGTTGATAATGTTCTTATCCAGGTGTGTTCACTGTTAAAAACTGTAGGTGCCAGCTATTGCTACTTAGCTGTCTCTACATTGTTTGTCAGTAATAGACCGGTATATTTGTTTGATCGTATAGAGTTCCTTTTATTTATTCCTAAAGTAAGTTCTTGGTGTTTTTATTTTATAATGTAAAATCTCGGCATTTACTGTTTCTTCCCATTTTAGTCTGAGTGTTTGGAAAAATACTGTAGTTGAATTAACATATTTCAAACAAATTTGTCCTAGGTGGACCAGTAAGTTAATTGACGTACTTAAATCATCGTCTAGAAATATCCTGTAAAGGTTTTCAGTCTGCTTGATGAAGGTTTTATTTGTCAGTTTAGTACTTGCTCAGTTCACAGTTTTTCAGTTTTACTTTGAGATATTTTAAGAAATCATTTTCTTCAGAACACAGATTCCATTGCTTATAGAGTTGTTCTTTTTCAATGTGAATATGAATTTAGAATGAATTTCATTTTCTCATGAATATTATCAGAACTACAGTTTCTTCCATTCTGCTTTTACTAGAGTGATGTTCCTGTCGACTTGTTGGATAGTGAAAGAAATTCAGCTGTTGTTAGTTACAGTGCTTGTGATCCAGAGGTAAACCTTTTACTCAGTATGTTTTCTAAGTATTTGAAGTATCCATGTGTTATAGTGGAACTCAATTGATTTTTGTTTTATCCTTTGTTTGTGTACTGTATAGGCCAAACTTGGCATCTTTATCCAACTTATTATATATATATTTAAACTAAAAACAACCGGTATACTGAACCAAATAATTGATATCTCATTTCAAAACTCAAATTATAATAATACGTAAGTAAGTAAAGCTACAGTACTCTGAGGATTTTTTATTTTTGGTTTGAATGAAAAAAGAGTCACTCTGTATGCAGCTAAGTCTTAACATTTCAGTGTTTTCATGATGGAAAACTTTCATACAAAAATAGATAACCAACTGTATAAAGTACGAAAATGTGCGAAGGTTTTGAAACAATAGGTCTTAAAATAATCTATGGAAAGGTTAAAAAAAATGGGCAACGTTCTTGAAAGTAAAGATGTACATTCATTGATCTATATTCTTAATACATTTTATTCAAAATCAGAACGGAAACTTTCTGCTTGCCACTTACCGATGCCAAGCAAACACCACTCGTCTAGAAGTGAAAATACGATCTATTGAAGGGCAACATGGAACCCTGCAAGCTTATATTACACCTCGACTCCAGCCAAAGTGTTGCCAGGTTCGCCAGTACCATATTAAGCCCCTCTCTCTGCACAGAAGAAGTCACTCTTTTGATATCAATAAGTAAGAAGTCACAGATTAGAACTTTCTTTGAGACTAATTAAGTATTTTTTGGTAAGAAACAGAATTTTTTCTCCAGATATTAGACCGTATTGTATAATGATAAAAGAATTAAAGCGAAAGTCATAAAAAAGATGGAAATGCCATAGCTATCAAGTAATTGCAGAAATAAATTAAGTGTTAACATGGAAACTCTATTGTTTGTCAAGTGATCATGAAATAAGAATACAAAGTTAAAACTACTTGTTATTTTTTATAATAGTAAACATACAGGCAATATCCATGTTTTAACTTGTTATGACTCGTGTGTAGCTCATTCTTTGTACTGATCTCAAGAAAGATTTAATACTTTTTAGAAGGGATGGGCAGTAATGATAGGTGTTCTTCTGGTATTATCATCATATAATTATCATAGTAATTTGGAACCCAGTAGAAAAAAAAAGGATGATGATTTGGTAACCTGATTGGTTAAGCTTTTTTTTTTGTATTTAAAATTACTGATTCTAAGAATTTTATTTGACATTAGAGCTTTTACAAATTTATAAAGATGGTATAATATGATTCTAAGAAACAGTGTGACATTTGAAGAGCTAACCTCAACAACCGTCCTGACACTGTCACTGGGGCAGGACTAACATTGTCACTGATTGATTGTGGACAGGCCTGATACTGTCATCAACCCATTCTAGTGTAGATGGCTGGAGGTGTTATGCATGATGGGTTAAGACTTACGAACTTTGGATCGAGTGGAATGATTCGTCGGCAATAGATATGGTCAATTTAGTGTGACTGGAACATCATACGGCAATGGATATGGTCAATTGTAGTGTGACTGGAACATCATACGGCAATGGACATGGTCAATGTAGTGTGACTGGAACATCATACGGCAATGGACATGGTCAATGTAGTGTGACTGGAACATCATACGGCAATGGACATGGTCAATGTAGT